GCTGCCTGCCAGGCATCCCTGCAACAGACTTCCCAGCCGGTCGCAGCACGCCGGTGAAGGTCTGGTTTGGGGCAAAGAGTTAGAAATTGAAGTCTTAGTTTCATGACGTTATCACTAGTGTGAGCCACGGCAAGTTTGGAAAAAGTCTTCACTCGGGTCTCCTCAGGAGCGTGATGCTCTGCAGCTTGTTGATGCTCAGAGTGTTAAAGGGATGGCTAAAGGATTATATGAATGACAAATACTTGTTGTAAAGGGTGATGTAATCACTTCTGAGCACAACCTTAACGTTTTCTTGTTTGGCTCATACTACCTCAAGCATAATCCTTATGGATCTACATGTATATATATGTATGAAGCATACAATAATTAAGCTCTACTGTGGTTCAGGAGAGCCTCATCCAGGCAACGACTCCGAGCCAGACGAAGCTGAAGAGAGCGAGCACAGCCATAATCAAAATTGCCCCTTCCCTCCTCTCAAGCTGACAAATCTTATGTACTTCAAGAAGAGCCTTTTTTTCTCACTCCCTCATGCGTGAAGACCAGCGATCTATTATTTCATCTGCCTCAAACAAAGGACTCTTGAAAGATGCTCTCTTCAATTTGTTTTCTCAGCCCTGGGGGCACACAATTACTGCTGTTCACTCATGCCTCGTGTGTGTAGCTATTGGAAGGATGTGTGTGCTTTCTGTCATTTTTACAGCATTCCCATGGAAATCTCCGGGGCAGCCGGCGCGTTCCCGACTCCGGCTCTGCCCACCGCCGGCTGTGGAGTCCTCAAGCCAAACCTTGTTTAGGCGGTTGCCGAAGCGAGCGGTGTCTCTACTACGCCGACAGCTGACCAACGTGTTGCCTCTCGGGTTCTGATCTGCGCTCAGTGAGGTGGGGAAAATGGAGTAGGGAACTGGAGCAGGACCCAGACGCTGCCTTTGAAACCGTAGCGAGATCCTCCCAGCAGCGTTCCTCAGGGAGCACATGGTTGGCACGTGTCAACTCCCGTGACTCGAAAGACAAAACGCTTCGCTAGCCTAAGTGAAACAGGTCGCAAGCGTGGCTGTGGCTCAGAAAAGCACTTGAGCGTCGTCCGCTTTGTGAGCGGCGTGGTGTAAAACGGGATGCGTCGACAGCCACGGGGTCTGCTGAAGGCTGCCCGTCCCAGCTGTGCGTTCAGCTCCCCGCGTCACGGGAGAGGAAAGGAGGTGGCTGTCGGCACCGGGCTGGCCACACCGTGGTTGCAACCTGTTCACAGCCCATTGCTCCGTGGAGGATGAAAACATTACGGTCAAGCACATTTTAAATGCAGGACTCCAGCCTGATGCAAAAAAACCCTTGTTCAAACATCTGCTCAACGTCAATTTTATTACATCGTGTTATCGCAGTATCGTGATATTTGGTGATTCCATACACGCTGCAGCACCATGTAGGACAGCACGCTGCGGGCTGGTCGCCCATTTAACACGCAATGCCCGGGGTCCATCTCTTGCTGAAGCTCCCTCCCTCCAGCACGGTCCCAGAGCCGACTTCACACCAACGTGGCAAGAGCCTGGACGTTGTGGGAGCCTTCAGAGGTCCTGTGGACAACACGGTGGTTTCTGACGCTTCTAACGCCGCCTTCGGGGCTGTGCTGAGCCTTGGCCGCGTGGCTCTGGAAGGCCCGGACGGTTCGGATAGCGAGGATGCAGACCGCAAAGCTGGCCAAGTACAAGCAGGCAGCAACGACACCGAAAAGGCCGACGGCCGCGTCGCCGCCCTGGACCACGCAGCTCATGGAGGTGTAACCCCGGCGCGCGTACAGCCTCTCGTGCCTCTTGCAAACTTCTGTGGAGTTCACCTGGCTGACGAAATGCAGGTAGAGGCCGACGGCCGCGACGTACGCCGCGCCGGCCAGGAGGCTGAAGGCGCATTCGCCTGCCAGCATCCTCACCCTGAGCTGCTGGATGGGTTTTGCCCCCACGATGAGGAAGACGAGGGTCAGTGCTGCGGCTGTCAAGCTGAAGGCTACCCCGCCATACACGCACGGGGCTCTCATCTGGGTGAACTGCATGTCCAGCTCCCTCACCTCCCGCAGCTCCGTGCCCTCAAAGGGGCTGTAAGCCGAGTTCAGGCCAAAGGAGCCGGCGCCGAAGCCGCCGAGGGAGGTGAAGCCGGCGACGGAGGCTTGGGCAGCGCCCACGCAGATCAGCACCAGGAGGTTAACCGTGATTTCCACAAACTTCAGAACGCCTGTAAGGAGCAGAAAGATGGGAATAGGCGGCGTCAGAAATCACGTCTTGTGCAAACCGGGGGTGAGAGAAGGGCACCGAAACCATACGCAGAGAGGACCATTACTGAGATAGTCCTCTTGGCTACAGCCACGGAAGAGAGCTGCTTTGGGAAAAAAAAAAGGCAGCGTGAGCTCTCGTGGGTACATTTCAGAAGTTGGGAAAATTACTTTTTTTAATTTGTCAGTGTGCTTGATAAATGGATCTTTGTGCGGGGAAAGGAATCCATAAAAATTTTACTGTGCTTGCGTTATTGCCAAGGCAAGCGCAGAGTGATTGTATTTTGTCCTCTAACTGCTTGGCATAAACACATTGAGCAAGAAATATCCTGTAGGAACAAAATGGTGAGGTTAAAGCTGACAAAAACCTAGAAGCTTCTAGCAACCTAAAATATTATTTTTTAAGCAAGTTATTTGGGTCCTTTAAAACGTGTTTACTGCTTTAACTTACACTCTTTTTCGTCTTTCTACGTGTTTGTTAATTTAAACTTATTATTTAACCAGATGCAAAGTCTACTTCATCTCCTTCAGAGATAAAAGTCTCTCCATAAATCTGAAGAAGCAGTTCCTGAGTGCACAAAAAAAGGAGGGGAAGGAGGCAAAAAACACCTTATATGCGCCGGTAAGTGAAGTGAATTCGATACCAGGCTGTGTGTTCTCTTCCACACCCTCACTTCAGAAGAAAGCCTTCTGACTGCTGAGCTGACGCTGCTCCTCTTTCTCTTATGTTATGCTACTGATAAAGGTAACCAAGGTTTTTTTTTTTTAAAAAAAATAAGTTGATAAATGACGACTTCTTGTAGTAGCTGCCTGCCAGGAAGGAGCAGCATCTGTTAGGTAAATCCGATTATCCTGTGGCAGCTCACTAGGGGTCAGACTAAGATTAGTAAACATGACGGATGTTGAAGCGTAGCGAGAGTTGCCTGTTCGGGAAATGAAAAGGCCTAGCGTGCGTGTTGCTCCTCAAGTTCTGAAGTTAATTACAGAATTGTGAATCTCATTATTCCACTGAAGTCTGACATGCAAGAATGTAAGATGCTTGACACAACGGTCCTATATTTGTCTTTAAAGCAGGGCAGGATCTGCCATTTGCATACAGACTTTGATTTTATGCTCCTAACATCGATCAGCACGGCGTTTTCCTCTTGAGCAATGGCTCAGTTGCTGTCAAGGCTGTATGGGCTTGTAAAGAAAAGGGCTGAAGCAGCACGCAAGGGAATTGGACAAATTCCTATCTTGTGTTGCCAGATGCTTCTAACCGAAGCAAGCCAGCGACAGCCACCATGAAGGATTATCAGATATTCCCCTTCGGCCCCTTCTCATTCCCTCCACAGAGGGCAGAGGTAACAAGCACCTTCCCGCTGCCGCTTGCCCTTCACGGGAAGGTGCCTGCCATGGTTTGGCCACTTCAGGAGTTCCTGCTTCCCCCCATACGCAGACTGGTCCCCTCACTTCTGCTAATGCAGCTGCAGCCAGGTACTGAGCCCAGTCAGTCACATCATGGCCCTGCAAACCCTTCCAGAAGCGCAAAGGGGAGCAGTCATAACAGTGGTGATACCTGGGAACAGAGTTCCTGAGGCTCAGCGTGTTCCACTTTGTGTGTGTGATGTGTGTGGATGTGTATATTATATACACATCTACACCAGCACACACACATACAGATTTCACATCCTAAAAAGAATTAGGTAGAGCAGGCAGGGAAGACAAAGTGCTCTTGCTGAGGAGGAATCAAGCGTGCAGTTCTATGTGTGTTAGCTTCAGGGGTGATGCTGATTTCTGCACAACTTGCCTTTTCCTTGACCCTTCCACACAACCATTTCTATGAAGCAGGGCAAGAATCATGCTGGTTACCGAACGTGTTCAGGAGGCTTTGCCATCAAAGGAAATATTTCTGAAGCTAAACGTGAAGAGAAACTTAAATGTTGGTCTGTGAGACAGGATTAGGGACTCCCTGTACCAAATTCAAACAATGCAGCCAAAAGACTTGAAGATTTTAACGGGCAGAGAGTTGTCACTTTACCAGGGCTGTTCAAAATATTTTGAAAGAGTAATAGCTGTACAGGACATTCATTGGAACTGGATCAGACACTTTTTGTCTGCTCAGTTGAGCTGGACAATATGCCTTCCAAATACAGGGAGTCAACTTAGGGCCCCTGGACAGCGCTGGACACAGAAGGCCACTTCCCTTTTGAAGGGCTGACTACTGATTTCATAGATGCTCCATCAGGAAGCAGTTCTTACAAGTCTACAGGGAGGAAAGACCATTTGATTAAGGGAAACATAAATTTTAAATATGTTTGGGAACTTGGAAGATGGGAATTCATGACCAGTCAGCTTTCTCCTACTGCTGTTTTCAGAATTTCCTTTTTGCTTACGACTGGTGAGGAACTCTGACCCGCTGAGCATCAACTTTTCCTGTACATCACCTCGCTGAGCTTTAGAAAAGGCAATTTTCTGCTGTCAAAGTAGTCACCACCTGCTGCTAACCTCTCCACATTTATTACTGACCCCAATCCTCAATGATGCTGCTCCAAAACTACTTACATATTCACACAAATTCTGTATGCAACCCCTGAACTTCACTGAGCCGACTGCTGGCCCCACGGTACTCTCTGTTGACAAATACAGTCAGTGTAGGTCTACTGTGTTTTTAACTGAAGCAGTAGATGCTTTAATGGCATCCTTGAAAAATCTCCTTCAACAGGGCATTCAGGTTGGACAGGTTTTGTAAGTACTAGTACAGTTTTCACACACACCTGCTGTAAAATTGGTCAGAGTAGCTAAGCAATGGAGAGAGCTTCATTAGCTGTTACTCCACCAGTTATTTGCAACACATGGATTAACTTTATTAAAAAAAAATTGCAATAACAAAGCCGCCTGTATTAAAGAAAATCCTAAAATGATGAGCAGTATGTAGTATAAAGCTGTGAATTACAGTGAGAGCCAGGAGGGTTTGTGACAGTAGCAGACAGTTAGTGGAAATCCCTAAGGCCTTGTACAACCATCAGAGCTTTGATGGGAATATTAAGCCCTACAGTATGTTCAGATCTGGACCCAGGCACCCTAAGAGCATCATCCAACCTTGATCCGTGACAGTTACAAGCTGATACCCAATCTAATGTACTAGTATGAACAGGACTGACCAACTGGAGAAATAAGGAATAAAAGGACAGTGAAGTTTTGACCCTCGGCTCTGTCGAGGCACGCTAACACACCCACGCTGGCAGCGACCTACGTCAAGCAGCGTACGGCAGGCAGAAAGGGCTGAGCTCAAAGCCACGCTTCTCAGTCTGCGC